GGTATTGAATGGTACCCTTTGCTAAGCCCAGGGAGCAACTCCAGGAGGGCCTGCTAATTCAAGACCACTGTCGACCTTCTGCATCCACCCTGGAGGAGGGGAAAAGGCTGACAAATCCTCTTCTGTGCTGCTTTTGTTTTATTGTATTAGGCTCATAAAGGCACTTTCAGGGCCCATCTTTCTTCAGCAGAAAGGGAAAGCAATGAGGAAACAGGGAAAGAGGAGGACATGGCAAAAAAAAGGCAGGCGGAGCTCTAGCTCCATTTGTTTTCAGCGTCTGTCGTTTCATGGGTTTTAAGCTGAACGGGCAGCTCTAATTCCTCCTCCCTTACTTGTGGTGGAGGAAGGGGAGGGGGCTCTGGGGGTCCAAGGTGCAAGTGCCTGATCACTCCCTCCTCCTGTGCCACGTTGCCTGCTGGGTGGTGCCCGGTGGGCGGCAGCCCACCTCTGCCTCGCCAGCAGGCCCTGGGGCTCGAAGTACACTTAGAAGGTGGCTGGGGGGGTCCAGGGAAGGGGGTCTGACCCTGGCTGCAGCCGGGGGAGATGCACTGGCGGCTTTGCAGGCAGTGCTGGGGCAGGAGCATCCCCTCTGCTCTGCCCTTGGCTGCTGGGACAGGGCGCTGACAGAGCAGAGTCTCCCACCAGCCGAAGGCTTTGGCTGCAGCGGTGCTGCAGTGGCGTGGTGGCTTGTTACAGCCTGGGTGGCTTCTCTTTTTGCAGCCCCGCTTTTGCTAACACTGTGTTATGCTGGTGAGGACAAATGCTCTGACCTCTCTGGCACGTTTTTCTCTGACTTCGAGTTGATACCATGTTTTTATTGCCTGAGCCGCACAAGCTATGAGTTTGCAAACAGAAATTGCAGTAACAAACTCTTCTTATTTAGAGGTTGATTGCTCTTTGTGTGCTCAACAATACAATGTTTCATCTCGTGCAAGTCTTATGTTGCTTTCAGAGACTTAGGAACTATTGATTTATGCAGCATGTATTAACTTCTTCAATAAATGGGAAGTATTCATCAGTGGGGTGCATTAAATTGGGCTGTATACATATAGAAGCATCTTTCATCCTGTTAATAAAATGTCCTTACCAGGCAACAAAGACTAATACACAGCAATTTATACACACACTCCCCTGCAGCTTAAATCTGAAGTTCAGCTAATTTTTTTTTTTATTTCATAAAGGTACCTATCAGAACTTAGGCTGAATGGATTCCAGTATCCCACTCAGATATGTATCAGTCCAAAATTTGTTGGTTTTTTTGTTTGTGAGGGATGGTTTTTTGTGTGTGTGTGTGTTTTTTTTTTCATTCCAGAGCTCCATTATTGTTTAAAGGCATCTGTGTTTAAGCATTCCCAGAAGTATTTCAAATTCTTATAGAGTGATTTAGTAGTTGAGTCCCTATGGGGACAATTTCCTCTGGTTTTCTTCAGGCGGAGGTTATCAAGTAAAGCAAACTTCTGTTGGTTTTTTGCAATTCTTTACCATGCTCTTTAACCCAGCATACGAGACCCCAGATTTCAGTGGAGAGGAGTGATCTGTCAGCAGATGACTTGGTACTGTGTGGATGCTGGGATTTCTCTCTGGAAATCTCCACTTGTTCCTGTCCTGTTGCCACATGCCCTGGTGCTAATCAGTGTGTACCAGCGCAGCTCCCATCTCCCTGCCTGACATCGCCATAAATGGTGTTCTGCAAGTTGCCAGAGAAATTCCTGCGCCTCACAATGGCTTTTAGCTTAAAACTACCCTTGATAAAGTACTGGCAAATGTATATCGGAGAAGGGTCTTTTGCAGGGGAGTGGCCAAGGTCATCTAATAGGTGTCCTATCCTGATGGCTTCTGTGGTTTATCTTTCATTGCCAGCGGATGGGGTTAGGACCACACTTGTTACTCAGGCAGAGCTCCCATTGATTTCAAAGGAAGATGCGTGTGTGGGATTAATCCTGCTCTTTCTCAGCTAGTCCTTTTTTTTTTTCCCCCCCCCTCTCTTTTCCAAGGAAGCTTAGTTAACTTCAGGAACACTGCTTTTAAAGAGCAGCTTATTTAGCGTATTATGCGTGATTAGCCTGGCTTGCAAATTGTGTGTGTTATTATAAGCAGAGTTATGGTCCCTTTTCCCAGTATGTGATGAACACTGCAAAACAAAATACAAATCTAGCCCTGAGTTGTGATACAGGCTGATTCGCAGAGGCAGTGGATTACACCCCTCTGTACTAGAAAACATATTTTTGAGCAGGTAGATGACAGTTTCCTCTTTCCCTCAGTACATTATCACCACAATTCTGCTTCAGCATCATCAGAGTGGCAGAAAAATGTTCTACCCTTACTTCCAGTACCTTTATATGAATTATTTGTGTGACTGTAGGACAGGCACCCAAATAAAAACTATTTACCTGGGCGAAAGTTGGTAGACTGAGTTCAAACTATTGGTTGCTGATTTTTATTCATTTTTTTTCTCCTTTTTATTTTTCTCTGAAGGGCATCAAGTAAAATATATAATAATTTAGCGCTCGTGTCATTTTGTGGAGATATTGCGGGAGGTCTTGGTATATCAAAGCAGTGGGTGGTAGTTTCCCACAGTTTACATGTAACCCCCTGTCGTATACCTGTCTTTGGTGAAACAGTCATGTAAGTCCAGCTTTCCTCTCACATGTTGTTTCTTGTTTGTTGGCTTAAGTCTGACCCTCTAATGTTATTCTACTGCTTACTTATTTTTTTAACTAACCAGTTCCAGTTTCAATGAAAATAAACTCTCCATAGAAGGCAACCTTCAATATCTGTCAGGATCTGGGTGATGGTTTTTTGCAATGATGTGAAGATAGAGTTGGGAGAACACAGAGCTACAGCGGCAACCAGCCACGCTGTGGGACACCTAACAGCAAGAGTTCATGCAATTCTTGGCCAGCAAAAATCGCTCTTACTGGGAAGGGTTGTTTTTTGTGAACCAGATCGAGTGGTCATTTGGCATATAATGTCATGTGTTGCTGAGTCGACGCCTGCTAGTTTGCGTGGTGTGTAATGCGATTTGTTATATGAAGCCGTTGCCAAACCTTTTGGTTACTTTCAGATTGCTTACGTTGATTCACTTGGAAGAGATCGGGTTTTGGTTTAGAGCATCTCCTTCAGCGTTTTGAATTAAGGGGCTGAATCCCCATAGCTCCTCTGATAGGAAACCATTATGGATCTGTGTGGCTAAAAGTTGTCCTTGGTTGCGCAGGTGGCAGAAGACCTGACCTAGAGGCCGGCCAACACAATGTGCTGTGATTCATAGCCTGGGCTGCCTCAACCATGCTCTGTCCTGTGTGGTGAGCACTTGACATGGGACTCCCCTGTGCTGTGTGCGTGATGTTAGAGGGGAATCACTCCCTGTAAAGGCTGCAAAAAAGATGAACATGGTAAAAGTTGTGGAAAGCATAAGCACTTTGGCTTGCTCCTCTTAGATGCATGCTTGTGAGTCAAATTTCTGCATACAGCTGGGGCTGGGGAAACCTCCTGGTCTGGGGGAGGCTGGGAGAACCAAAGGTGAAGCTCTGCTGTGTGTTGACCAAAGCATGATGGAGGCACTTCTTGTTTGTTCGGGTGAAGACTATCATTCCTTCTTTCCTCCTAGCTCACAGTCCATCTTCTCTCTTCCTTCCCCCCAGTCTGGAAACTCGTCGTCAGAGAATAACTGAATTATTTTTTAAATGCTTTTAAGGGAAGCTCGGAGCGTTCAGGCCGAGATCAGATAGCGACTTGGCTAAAGCAGCATGGCGAGGGCACGTGTCTTTGGGGGTACTGGGGAGCGATCGGTGGGGTCAGAGCCATCCCTGGGCAGAAGGGCAAGCAGGAGAGTGCTGGCAGACCCTGATCGGCAGCGGCGCTATCGGGGGCCGCCGTGGTATCACTACTTTATTTTAATGTGATTCCTTTTGCTTGATGTTAATGCAAGTTGTTCCTTACTTAAAGTAATAAAAGGAAATGAAGACACATTCTAAAATGAAACCTGACTCTAATCCATTCATCATCTAATACCAGCCTCTTTATCTTTGCTGGTACCTAATCTGGTTAAATGTCCCTGTTGTAGGATTTTAGTGAAAATCCTCTATGGGGAATAGGGTTTTTTGCAATTGGATTACTCGCAGTAAATGGTCCAGCAGTTCGCTTGTTTCAGCTTAATTTTTTCTTTGTGATCTTGTAAGGGTAAGTTACAGTTCAGCCTGCCTTTTTCTTTCATTCATTCACTCCTTTTTTTTATTCTTGTTAAGGAAAAGAAATCTTTTTTTTCTCCCCCAGAGCTAGGAATGTGTCAGAGAAAAACCTCATATCTGCATGATTATTCCCCCCACAAGAATCTTAATTTCTGTGGCTTTATCTGTGTTTTTACCATTATTTATATAGCAGAATATTTTAGTAGCCTAATTCATCAGTATCCAGTTTCCCTTTATTAGCGCTCTCTGATGAATTGATAATTAATCAGCTCTTCTAAAAAATATATATATATATAAAATATGCAGGTGATCGCTTGTCAGCTTAATGCTTGCTGATGAAGGGAATGCTCTAGCACTACAAAGGCTTTTTATCTGGTGTATTTGCAATGAGTAGTAAAATGTAGAACTGAAAGTGAGGACAGGAAGGGGAAAGGAAAAGACCTACAGGTCAGTGAGCATTTGGGTGTCGTGCTAATTAAATGGGGAACTCTGTCAGCCCCTTACTGAGGAGTCTGCCTGCGTCTTGGAGGTGAAGCACAAGATAATAAAATAAAAAGGAGAAATTTTAAAGAATCGCTGTTGCTCCATACAAGAGCACGACAGGTCAAAAAGATTAAAGAAGCTCAAGAGCAAGGAAAGTGTGTGAGGAGGTTTTAAGCAAGAGGGTGGGGAAACTGCAAGGAGAAAGGATCTGGAAAAGTCTGAGGACCGTGTTGAAATCCTGGGTACTCAGATTTCTGTATGCCGAGCCTCGTGCTGCAGTGACGAGTGCCCAGCACTCCTCTAACGCCGTCGACCTTTTTCTCTTGACAGTCTAACAAAGTGCCAGTTGTGCAGCACCCACACCATGTACACCCTCTTACACCGCTTATCACGTACAGCAATGAGCACTTCACACCGGGAAACCCTCCTCCACACTTACCAGCCGACGTAGATCCCAAAACAGGTACGTGGGAAATAGTTTGGGGGTATTTTTGAGTTTCTCTTTCCATTTTGCATATTAAGGGGAAGGAGTGCGGGAGGAAGGATTTCCCATGCTGGAGTGCCAAAGCGGGCATAAAAAATACCAAATGCATGCAAGAACACAGACAAAGCAGTTTCTTTTTAAGCCAATTAGGCTTCAGAAAGAAACCTACTGGGTGAATTTTCATAAAGCTTCTGCAGGGTGACCCCAGAGTTGCATGCGTGGGGTCGTTCGCACGTGTGTTTCTTTGCAGTGTGATACCCTACCTAGTAGTTGGATCTACCAAGTGCTTAGTTTGCATGCATGACCCAGAGAATTAAACATGTACGTTCTGTGATCCGCACTTAGAAAATTGCAGCTGGAATTTTAAAGGTGTTGGGTCATGACCGGTTTCAAAATGAATCTCTTTTAATTCCCCAAATCCCATTGTTTCTGTGTCAGGAGTTCAGCCACTTTTCTCCTATAATGTTGAATTTTCATCCACTCTAACTGCTTAGCTCCAGCTCTACACTTGCAACTCTTTTCCCCAATGTAGGTCTATCCAGCTCTCAGTTCAGCCTGAAGGGCAGTCTTTCTGAATATAGAGTGCCGTGTAAAACCCTGACTAGATTTATTGGTGTTACAGAGTAGAATTTACATGTTATTCTAACTTTTTAAGAGTCCCTGTTTAACCTGAGGGCCCACGGAAGTCAAACAGTGTCAATCTTCTTTATTCGGGCTGCACTGAGTTCCTAGTGACAGTGGTTTTGTTTTTGTTAACCCAAATCCCAGCTAGTTAATTGGAAAGTACATCAGAAACAGAATTCATGTCAAAGGAATCGCTCTGTGTCTGCCCTAACATATGCAGATAATTTGTCTCAACTCCAGCCCTTGAATGAGGCTCTGCATTAGCTGGTTTTCACTCCCTACGCTTCAATTGGGGCCCCCTTTTAATTGTGCTTAATGCTAACTTCACGTGGCTTAAAAGGAATCCATCTCGCCATCCCTGGGTATTGCAAGTGAATGGCATAGTCAACCTCTCATTTAAATAATGGCAGTACAGGGAATAGCTTTTAAATGGTTATCGTAAAACATATGATTAACGTCTGTAGACTGTTTACTTTTCTTCTGTGAACATTCTTTCAAGTGTGCAAATAGCTCACTGGATGGTTAAAGCCCAGTTAATCTGTTTGGGTTTTGTAATGGAGAAAAAGCAATGTCTGCATGAAAATGTCACACAAGGAGATTTAATTTAGAGATTAAAAGCTTCCCGAGTGACTTAAAAAAATAGTTTTTAGCCATGAATACAGTACCCCTTCCTTTTAATGCTCTCCATTTTAATTTTGCTTCTGCTGTGTAATTGTGCTCTGGCTTGTTAATTGAAACACCCAGTCTTGTAACTCTTACTCCTCTGAGTAATTCCTGCTTGCTCTTAAGGTAAGGAGCATTAAGATGTAAGGCTTGTGTCTGGAGCTGGTTTCTGCTCTCCAAGTAGGAACTGCACCAGTTTCAGAGAGGATGGATCGGCTCTCTGTCCACCCTTGCACACCTTCAGCATCTGCCTCTGGTTTGACCAAGGGTTTTCAGGAGCTCTCACCTCCACTCCTACGTTTCAGGAAAGGTGCCCTAGGTTTGCACAAAAGCAAACACCATTTGCAATGGCAATCCCTTTGTAACTCGTTTTGGAGGTTACTTAGGAGTAACACCATCCTATTGAATGCCCAGTCAATGCATGGGTAGGGCCTGTGATCTCTTGGTGACTTTGAGGCTCAATTATCCATGAAGTTGCTACAGGGACCATCTTTCTGATGAGCATTTAAGACAGCACCTAGCACAGCATTACACCAAACTATAGCTGAGACTCCTAAATTCTCATCCTAAATAACAAAATAGTTATCTCTGATTGGAAAGATGACTGAGGAAGCGAATCACACCCATTTTTCTGGTTGAATCTCATTTAATAATGTGTCAGGAGGCTCACTTCCTAAAATAGAAGACTGGGAAACACCCTTTGGAAACCCAAAGTGAAGCCATGAGTATGGTAATAATAGTCGACAGCAATTTAGAAACATATGTGTGTTTTCGTTTTATTTATTTCCATGTCTTAATGTTAACGCTGCTTTATGTTCCTCTTCCATAGGAATTCCAAGGCCTCCACATCCTCCAGATATATCTCCTTATTATCCGTTATCACCAGGCACTGTAGGACAAATCCCCCATCCGCTAGGATGGTTAGTACCACAGTAAGGAGTTCCATTTTTTTAATTTCCTTTTTCTTTTTTAATGTGTAAAACTTATGTTAAAAATCGTATATGCGTGTGTGCATCTGCATGTGTGCGTGCCTTGAGATAAGTGTGTTTGCCAACCCACCACTTCACTGGGTGGTTATGAATTTACCCGCCTCATGAAGATTCGTTAAAGCTTGTGCCAGGTCATGTGGTCTTAAACCAACATAAGCAGTTGGACACAGCTTTGCATGTCATCTCAACCAGCTGATTTGCGAAGCATGAATTTTTAAATCCATCTGGAGAAACGTCTTTTTCTTCTTGATGCCCTTGCACTGCACTGCCTGGGTTTTTCTCAGAACTGGTTTTCTGGGGGCTCAGGGTGGATCTCATGGTCTCTTGCTTACCAGGGCCACCCACACTATAAATGTGCAATTTTCAATTTCCTTGGCTTTCCCCAATGAAACCTTTTCCATTTTCCTTGTGGAACAGTAGAGCTTTACATCTGCCAGTCAGCG